TGCATTCTTTCCCCATGAGCCAAGGGCCTCTGAGCCTATGGGAACAAACATATAATGATGGGCAAGTTCTCCATATTTTCTAGACTTTTGGGACTCCCTGAAGCTGGCAGCTGCCCCTCCTTCCTCCCTGGTGTATTGGAGATAGGTATCAGCCAAGGTAGATGCACATGTATTGTCCCACGCCACCTGCTTCCCATCTGTGCAGGCTTGAAGGGTGATACCATCTGGACGCTTCTGGCTGCCATCAGATCTGCATAGCTGGGGTGACTCCCTTACTGCTGGGCATCCGCTGTTGTGAGGCTCTTCTTGATAATGGTATTTCAGCTCGTCAGTGATCGTCAATAATTTTTCTCCTTTGATTAGCGAGAGTTATTTTTCTCTTTTGTTCGACTCGCTAAGATACAATTATATTTTGTTTTAAACATTCCTTCACACTTCTTCGGCTGTTCCATAATTCACCTTATTTTTCACAGACCTATTTGCTTACAGATCCAAAAATCAAAATTTCTTCACTTCATCTATTGTCTTTTCCTTCCAGTCTGAAGTTGAATGCTTTTCTGTTTACTCTCGTCGTGTTCTTTCCTTTTTCATTAACTTGTTTCCCCTTGTACACCTTCCTAAATTTTCCCACTAACTTCTGCAGCGTCTCTGCGTTTCTCTACAACACTGCCATCAGCAGACAGCAATTATGATAACCATCCACCTTCCCCTGCACCACCCACCTTTCTCTTGACCTTTCCCTGGACTACCCACCTTTCTCTTGGCCTTTCCCTGGACCACCCACCTTTCTCTTGACCTTTCCCTGGCCCACCCATCTTTCTCTTGGCCTTTCCCTGGACCACCCACCTTTCTCTTGGCCTTTCCCTGACCCACCCACCGTTCTCTTGACCTTTCCCTGACCCACCCACCGTTCTCTTGACCTTTCCCTGGCCCACCCACCGTTCTCTTGACCTTTCCTTGGACTACCCACCTTTCTCTTGACCTTTCCCTGGACCACACACCTTTCTCTTGACCTTTCCCTGGCCCACCCACCGTCCCCTGGACCACCTACCTCCCCTCGTCCAACACCTGCACACCCAATCGACGATTATTTAAGGGACTGCAATTAGAGTAATTTAACGAAGTAAACAGAGCAAATAAAGGAATTTGGATAATTGTTCCTTTTCCTTTGTCGTGTGAATAAGAAATGAGGTAATTCCGTCAGCAAGATCATGCTACAGCAAGCCGTCCCTCCGGTCAGGCTGCGACGATCATGTGACCTGGAGCTGACGTGCTGGTGTGACCCGGAATTACAGTAGCCATGTGACGTGGAACTGAGACGGTGATGTGGAATGTGCTATGGCTCTAGCGTAAGGGGTTATGACCCTAGTGTAAGGAACTGTGGCCCTAGTGTAAGGAACTGTGGCCCTAGTGTAAGGAGCTGTGGCCCTATTATAAAGGGTTATTGCCCGAGTTTAAGGGGTTTTGGCTCTCTTGTAATGGGTAATGACCCTAGTGTAAGGAGTTATGGCCCTAGTGTAAGAGGCTATGACCCTGGTGTAAGGGGTCATGATCCTAATTAGTGTCAGGGGATATGGTACTACATTTACGTTAGAGGGGCTATGACCCCCAGAGTGAGGCAGTATGGCCTTAGTATGAGAAGCTATGAAACTACGCTCCTGTTCTCGTTGCTGTATGGATTTCACACTGTAAAGTTAATTCTAACTGAATTTCCTTGAAATCTGGTCCCCTTGTTTCTGTCTAGAGAGAGAAACGGGCTTTTGAGTTTCGCCTGGTGTCAGCGGGTCAAAGTTCAAGGCTCTGGATACTATAAATAAAACGTTTCTCTCCGCTCATTGGTACAGTTCCGTAATCAGCAAACTTGGAAATTGTCACAAAATTTGTTATTAGACGAGACGTGTTTCGGGTCACTAGACCAAATGTTAAGATCTTGGTACTAGGAGAAAGTGAGTTCAGATTGCGAGGTGGAATTAATTTTGTCAACGTTTTCCGTACATCATGCACCGCCACACCTACGCTTTCCCCGTGTGTCACCACACACACTGTACATCAGCACACTCCCGGTGTACTACCATCTGCATCACCACCGAGTGTGGTGTCTGGAGGTCCCCTGTGCTGAGATGAGACACAGTTATTTGTCAATCACTCAAGTCTAGAAAATAGGGTGTTTTTAAGATCCCTGCAATCCAACCAAAAATAGTAACACTTACTGCCATTACGGCGGGTCGCTGAGCTAGCAATCACTTTCATTCTCTCTCTCTGCGCGTAGAGGGAGATATATATATATATATATATATATATATATATATATATATATATATATATATATATATTATATATATAATATATATATTTAGTGAAATTCCAAGCGCTTTCTTGACTTGTCATATAGTTCCTTGATATTGTGAGAAATCACGAAAGCGCTTGGAATTTCACTATTTTTTAAGTGGTGTTCTGCAATTTGTAATATCACCTGTTTACTGTTATCTATATATATATATATATATATATATATATATATATATATATTATATATATATATATATATATATATATATATAATATTAAGTGTGTGTATTATGTATGTAATTCGAGAATGACCAGTGTTCTTGTGAGTTGCAAGACTGTTTGTGTATTATTTAATGTCTGAGTCACAGTAGTTGCGTGCAAGTGTTGTGTTTGTGGGAGTCCTGCCGCCTTGTATATTTTTTTTTTCTTTTTTTTTTTTGTATCACTTGTATTAAGTAGAGGCGCTGTTCTCACTCAGCTTCTCGCCAGCTCTCAGGCATGTTACTTTCAACTCCTCCATTGCTGTTATCATTATTTTATTTATGAATTGATATGAGGAAATGAATATCTTATTGTCCGGCCTCTGGCTCTAATCATGGTTGTCTTTCCTCCCCAAGTAACAAAAATGACTTTCACGTACTGTTCGGTTATCTCCTGCTTTAGAGTTCATATGGGGGACGTTATTTGTTGCAGAGGTGTTGACATCTATATATACACTACTCTCACAAATATAACTGTTTAAGCTACACGTCATTATTACAGAAATAACAAAAAAGGCACAATACCGTGACTGGAACAATACACAGATAACCCGTACATAAAAGAGAGAACTAACAACGATGTTTCGGTCCGACTTGCACTGTTTATAAAGCTTTTCTCTCTCTCCTATGTGCGGGTTATTTATTATGTGTGTATCGTTATTACACTTAAAACAAGAACGTATTTGGATTTTTTCAACTTGAAAGTTTTTTCATGAGTCATACGTTGTACATTTATTATTATTATTATTATTATTATTATTATTATTATTTGCTTATTTCCTTCAGAATACTGTTTTCTGTGACGGAAATTTTGTGATGCAAGTCTTCTGTTAAGGAAATGACAACGTACAGTCTGATAATTTTCAGATTTAACAATTTCAACTACTGTATCAGTTCGTATGTCAACAGTTTTCAAAGAAACTCGAAATATCATAATTATTATTATTATTATTATTATTATTATTATGGTATTTTGTATGAAGCCGTGAATCCGTGTGATTCATTCCATGCCAGGAACTGTAGAGGCTCAATATTCAGTTCACTAATCCGCTACTTAACTGTACTCGCCTAATTATCTTGGTATTGACCCTGGCTACTGTTACACGTCGCCCTGTAGCCTTGCTGCCCTCTTATTCCAATCCATTTGGCTTCCCTAGCCTTCCCTCCCCCCAACCTCTGTGTTACCACTTCATATGTATATGTACATATGAATGTATGTATACGTGCATGTATATATACTTGGATATCTTATGGCATCTACATTTCTCTTCCTTCATCCCCTTTTTCTCTCCTCTGCCCTCTGTGTATATTTTTTTTTGTCCCTCACTCTAGGATGATAGAGATATCTTAAAAAAAAAACACCCCATCTCCTATTCTGAGAGATGGTGGTTCCCAAATGATTGTAACTCCAGCTGTGCTGGAAGGAAACCTTTGAAACTACCGTAACTGATGAATCTTTGCTGGAATACACATATAACCCGCACATAGGAGAGAGGAGCTTACGACGACGTTTCGGTCCGACTTGGACCATTTACAAAGTCACACTAACAAAACTTCGTCGTAAGGTCCTCTCTCTTATGTGCGGGTTATTTGTGTATTGTTCCAGTCACGGTGTTGTGCCTTTTTGTTATTTATCCTTGCTGGAATATGCTTGATGATATCCTCATTGTTCCACTAAAGTCTCCCATCTCAGGCTGACGGATTTCAACACCTCGTATGAGCCCAATCCTGCGTGATGGGATATGACAGGGAACGTAACTAGTTTTGTAATAATGTTGGTAGAATTACCCACTTGTGTCCGTTTACCTAACACTATGTATCATATAGACTAGGGTAGCAGCACACTGCTGATGTATCCAATTTTATTGAAAAAAAAAGACACCTGCCATGCAAATGTGACAGATTTCAGGAGTGCTGGAAGTCGTATCCATGGCAACATGACAGTGTTGAAAAAGTAGCTACGGCTCTGTTGGAAATATCAGTGTTTTATAAAAGGCATCTTAACAGTGCGTTGTATCAGTTGATGCTGTTTAAAAGCCAGCTAACTGCCTGCAGTAGTCACTTATTGCTACATGATCCTTCCCTTGATGGAGCTACCATCGTATGTATCGCTGACACCAACCTATTTCCACACCCTGTTATTGACCGCAGTGTTGCTGTTGTCTAATAAATCAGTTTCTTCACAATAATTTGTTTACAAGCTTCTGCCTTTGTTCATTTTGTTGGAGGGGAGACCTTGTCTTGTTTACTCTATTTCGCAGCGGGTGTCTTCATCGTCCGTTCAACCCTTCATTTTTTGGGGGGCGTAACGAAATACTTTCTTATAGCTTTCCCGATGACCAAGACGTGGGTTAGATTGGCCGCAAGAGAGAAAGTAACTTCGGTGGGCTGGACCATTTGCCACCTGTTGCTACAAGAGCCAGCGGACCAGTGGTTGTTGGAGAAGCAGAGGGGTGAGTCGCGTTTCCACTCGTGTGTCGCCCCGCCACTTCTCAAGAACTTTACCTCTGCCAAGTCTGCTGCTGACTATATCACTACCTCCACTGTCCGTGCTGGAGGAGTGTGACGGAAAGTTGTGGCGGCAGTAAGACGGATCTTTGTGTGTTGCTCTGAGAGCTACTAGTGACAAATACATCTGCTGACTACAGGTCAGCACAGCTTAGCATTCTCGTGGTTTACTGACGAACTCCACACCTAATGGACAGTTACAATGTTGTTTTTTAATCTGTTGAGTGCTACCTGTGCCGTACCTATGCTCAACTTTATTTTATGAACAAAGTTTTAATAGTAACAAAATTGATGGTATAGGAACAAGAGACTTTGAAAAGTTTGCGCTGCAGATACAGAAAACGTTTTCTATGAGCCTCTCTCACCCATCCTGGTAACTGAAGATGGTGGCCCGCTCTTATAACATTCGTAAGTTAATGTAGATAAGATAAGATTTCGTTCGGATTTTTAACCCCGGAGGGTTAGCCACCCAGGATAACCCAAGAAAGTCAGTGCGTCATCGAGGACTGTCTAACTTATTTCCATTGGGGTCGTTAATCTTGTCCCCCAGTATGCGACCCACACCATTCGACTAACACCCAGGTACCTATTTCCTGCTAGGTGAACAGGACAACAGGTGTAAGGAAACGTGTCGAAATGTTTCCACCTGCCGGGAATCGAACCCGGGCCCTCCGTGTGTGAAGCGGGAGCTTTAGCCACCAGGCCACCGGTGGTGGTGAGGCGTCTTGTAGACGTGGGGTGTGGGGTGTGTAACAGTGGTGGGGTGTGTAGTGGTAGTGGTGGGGTTTGTAGAGCACTAGCGACTGTCGTTCTTAGCTGAGTGGAGACACCTCTGTTCGTCTTGGAAAAATAAAGGAGCGACCTCTTTTGGACAGTTCTAAACACCTGTAGATATATTTAGCAGCATTTGCATTTTAGTATCTCATGTCTCTTTACTCTCTAAGATTTCTCTCCTAAAGCTTATTTTGCTGCCTTCTCTCTGTCTAAGCTTTGCTGCCGTCTCTGTCAAAGCTTACTTCTCCTACATGTTTGTCTTAGAGATTAATGTGTACTCACCTAATTGTGCTTGCAGGGGTCGATTCATAGTCATTGTGTGTGTGCGTGTGTGTGTGTGTGTGTGTGTGTGTGTGTGTGTGTGTGTGTGTGTGTGTGTGTGTGTGTGCGTGTGTGTGTGTGTGTGTGTGTGTGTGTGTGTGTGTGTGTGCGTGTGTGCGTGTGTGCGTGTGTGTGCGTGTGTGTGCGTGTGTGTGTGTGTGTGCGTGTGTGTGTGTGTGTGTGTGCGTGGTGTGTGTGTGTGTGTGTGTGTGTGTGTGTGGTCACAACATCCCCGTAAGTATCAACTTCCTTGTTTTTTCAGAACTTTATGAATGACTTTTTTTCGCACAGCTTTCCTGAAGTTAGAGAGAGAGAGAGAGAGAGAGAGAGAGAGAGAGAGAGAGAGAAGAGAAGGGTAGAGATGGGAGAAGGGGATGGCTGTCATATACATTTGATTGGAGTTTTCCTGTTATAGCAGTCCAATATGAATCTCCCAGATTACCATCTAATCAATCAGTCTGTTGCTGTACGGGGCCCGCATTCCCACCTAGCCATCACAACCTAGCTGGTCATGCAACTCCTGTACTCTCTAAATATTACACTGTCTTTTATTGTATTCTAAAACATCATTCTTCTAACCTGGATTACCTTTACTTTATTTTCATTTCTGTACTTTAGGTGGTGTGAAATTATTATTATTATTATTATTATTATTATTATTATTATTATTATTATTATTATTATTATCGTTCATCCGTATTTTATCTGTTTATATCTCTAATTCTGTATAAAACGCAGTTAGAATTTTACACTTTTAAACGTCATGCTTTAACAGTTGTCCACTGTAAAACTGTATTGATGCCTTATGATAATTTCAAGTCTCCTGCTGAGGAAAATGTAATAGATATTTTTAAATCGAGCGGAAAAAAAGAGATGACACAGAACTATTTATATCTGTGCTACAAGAGTGAGAGAACAGAGGTGGAAGGTTCCTTGCGGAAGATCATGTTTTTACTGTATTTACGTTACTCAAATAACATTATAATGTGTTAGCTGAAAGGGTTTAATGTTGTAGGGTGGGCTGCGTTCGTGAAGAAATTATCTTTTATTCTCATCGTAAATAAATATTAATTGGTAAACAAAGAGGAGAGAGAGAGAGAGAGAGTTGGTTGGTTTGTTGGGAACACGGTCTGTTGACTGCACGAGGGTGATCAAGGCTGCTTTTCACCTATACACCCACCAGTCCAGTATACTTTAATCTCTAAAATAGAGTTTGTAATAAACTCTGCGTGTGTAATTTCTTTTCACTCTTGACTTGAGGATATGGTTCAGGAGAGACCAAAACCTCGAACGTTTCCTCTCAAAACTGTCAGCTAGTTACGATTTTTTCCAGCCAGGGTACTGACTTTCATTCGTCTGTATACCTAATGAATTTTTCCAGCCACGGTATTGTGACTTTTATTCTTCTGTATACTTAGAGATATACATATCTCGGTATACAGAGACATTTGCAGTAAATGGGTCTTAAAGGTTTTTCTGAACCACCAGTTTAAAACAACTCCGGTGCTCTTCAGTGTGATGAGTGCTCCTGGTACCATCTGAGGAATATTTTCCAGCTACTGACCACGGTACCACCATGAACATGAAATTGTTGTTCAAGAAGCATGCTGAAGGAAAGTGTTGCTGCTTCTGACCCACAAGACCAAACCTGTTCTTTGTGAAGTAACTGCCGAAACTCACACTTAGATGATATGTCTTTAAGCATAATGTGTTTGTACTTAGTGACATCTGGCACACCTCACCTTAGCTAGTGTGACCGGGAACCACAGCTTCTGCTGTCTGGCACACACTTGTCTAGTGTGACCAGGAACCACATCTACTACTGTCTGTCTGACACACACTTGTCTAGTGTGACCAGGAACCACAGCTACTGCTGTCTGACACACTCTTGTCTAGTGTGACCAGGAACCACATCTACTACTGTCTGACACACTCTTGTCTAGTGTGACCAGGAACCACATCTACTACTGTCTGTCTGACACACACTTGTCTAGTGTGACCAGGAACCACAGCTACTGCTGTCTGACACACACTTGTCTAGTTTGACCAGGAACCACAGCTACTGCTGTCTGGCACACACTTGTCTAGTTTGACCAGGAACCACAGCTACTGCTGTCTGGCACACACTTGTCTAGTTTGACCAGGAACCACAGCTACTGCTGTCTGGCACACACTTGTCTAGTTTGACCAGGAACCACAGCTACTGCTGTCTGGCACACACTTGTCTAGTTTGACCAGGAACCACAGCTACTGCTGTCTGGCACACACTTGTCTAGTTTGATCAGGAACCACAGCTACTGCTGTCTGACACACACTTGTCTAGTTTGACCAGGAACCACAGCTACTGCTGTCTGGCACACACTTGTCTAGTTTGACCAGGAACCACAGCTACTGCTGTCTGACACACTCTTGTCCAGTGTGACTAGGAACCACATCTACTACTGTCTGTCTGACACACACTTGTCTAGTGTGACCAGGAACCACAGCTACTGCTGTCTGGCACACACTTGTCTAGTTTGACCAGGAACCACAGCTACTGCTGTCTGGCACACACTTGTCTAGTTTGACCAGGAACCACAGCTACTGCTGTCTGGCACACACTTGTCTAGTTTGATCAGGAACCACAGCTACTGCTGTCTGACACACACTTGTCTAGTTTGACCAGGAACCACAGCTACTGCTGTCTGGCACACACTTGTCTAGTTTGACCAGGAACCACAGCTACTGCTGTCTGAACATAAGAACATAAGAACATAAGAACGAAGGAACACTGCAGAAGGCCTACTGGCCCATGCGAGGCAGGTCCAAGTCCCTACCGGCTTAAGCCAATGCACCCAACCTAGTCAGGTCAGGTCACACTGACTTAAGGGAGGAACACGGCAACCGACCTGTTAGCACAAGCTATCAGGTCTAACTCACACCCACCCACATCTACTCATGTATTTATCCAACCTATTTTTAAAGCTACACAACGTTCTGGCCTCTATAACGGTACTTGGGAGTTTGTTCCACTCATCCACAACTCTATTACCAAACCAGTACTTTCCTATATCCCTCCTGAATCTGAATTTTTCCAACTTAAAACCATTGCTGCGAGTCCTGTCTAGGCTAGATATTTTCAGCACACTATTTACATCCCCTTTATTTATTCCTGTCTTCCACTTATAAACCTCAATCATATCCCCCCTAATTCTACGTCTTTCTAGAGATGTGCAGTTTCAGGGCCCTTAGTCTATCCTCATAGGGAAGGTTTCTGATACATGGGATCATCTTTGTCATCCTCCTTTGTACATTTTCCAGAGAATTTTATATCCATTCTGTAATACGGTGACCAAAACTGTGCAGCATAATCTAAATGAGGCCTAACCAAGGATGTATAGAGTTGAAGAACAACCTGAGGACTCCTATTATTTTATGCTTCTTGATATGAAGCCAAGGATTCTATTAGCTTTATGCGAACACTTATGCACTGTTGTCTTGGTTTCAGATTACTGCTAACCAGAACTCCTAAATCTTTTTCGCAATCCGTAATATTAAGATCTACATTATTTAGTTTATATGTGGCATGGTTATTGTCCTGTCCAACATTTAGAACTTTGCATTTGTCTATATTAAACTGCATCTGCCACTTCTCCGACCACTGCATCAGTCTATTCAAATCTTCCTGGAGTGCTCGAATGTCCTCGTCAGAATGAATTCGACGGCCTATTTGGTGTCATCGGCAAACTTGCCGATGTCGCTCTTTATGCCCTCATCTATGTCGTTTATGTAGATTGTGAACAGCAGGGGGCCCAACACTGACCCCTGTGGAACACCGCTCGTGACGCTTCCCCACTCTGATTTCTCCCCATTTATGCAAACTCTCTGCTGCCTATTTTGTCAACCATGCCTCTATCCAGGAAAAAAATTTCTCCTCCTATTCCATGTGCTTTAATTTTTCCTCAATAGTCTCTGATGTGGACCCTGTCAAAAGCCTTACTG